GAGCTGTGATATTTTAATATTACGGCAACTCCAGTGTTGAAAGATTGAGGTTATTGATATTCATAGTAAAAATTAGCGACAACAGTTTATTTTAGTCAAAGTTAGTGGCTCATAATTGCATAATATCTAGCCTAAGGAATACTATAATCATCAAATTACAACAAAAGTCAATCTCTGTATTTATCGACGGCCTAAAAACAGAGGCCATGACGAGCCCCGCGGGCATCCCAATTTCGCGCATTACACAATGAGGATGTCGCGTTATCCTGTCAAAGTAGCGAAGAACGAGTCTCAAAGAAAGATACGTGCATATATGCGACATCCCGCGATTTTTGAGTAGTCCGTACCTATAATTAAATTACTGCGCAACAACAAACACACTGTTTATTTTTAAGCTTAAAAGATAAAAAAAAAGCAGCCTTGGAAGCTACTCTAATGTTGTTTTTGCAGGTGAGTTGTACCTTCAGGGGCAATCGTAGAGGAAGCTAATCGCAACGATCAGTTGACTAATTAATTACAATAAGTTAATTAAAAATTAGTGATAGAAAATAAACATGCGGTTTTAATTAAAAACTTGCAGAGCGTCATAGCGTCATCGAAAACCCCTAAATCACTCAATATTAGATAGACTTGGAGCGCATGGGAAGCACGCGTACCCGGTGGGGCGCTAAATTTACCGCTCGTGCAGCGGGAGCAAGGCTACCGGTGCGATAACGCGCCCGCGTGGTTTTTCTGTCTCTCATCACCCACGTCTTCTTGCCCCAGCCTTGTGCATGTTTCACGGGTGGTAACTTCAGCGCACTACTGCGCTTCCCACGCGCTCAAAGAAATAAAATATATATATATATATATATATATATATATAGATTTAGGGGTGTTTTAATTAGAAACTCAGAAAGTTTCTAATTAAACCATATGTCTATTTTCACTTATAAAAAAGTTAATTTAGCAATTTTAGTGAATTATTAGACTTCCCCTGACGATTAGCTCCTCTATAATATGTCTCCTGGGCCTATAACTCACCTGCTCAATCCGTGTCAGTTAAGCTTTCACAGATTTTTTCAAAAAAATAAATCTGTTAAGCTTAAACAAAAACACCCTGTATAATTCTAGTGAATATTTCCACGAATGACGAGGTGACGAAACAAAGAATAACTCGGGAAACTAAAACGTTTAATGGGGCGAACTTGTTCCTGAAACAAAAGAAGTGAACAGAAGATAAGAACAGAGCGTAGCGGGCGTCGAAGTCGGCGTAACAGCAGGATCGAATGGTGGGGCGAGACTGACTCAGGCTTGCCACGGGGGGGGGGGGGGGGGGGGGGGGGGGCGTTTGTGTTTCCGTGGATGTCTAAAATATTCGGCCTAGAACGTTCGGAGCGTAGAATATTCGTAATTTGGTCAGACGAGAACGTTTTCGAATTCGCTAGAACGCCAACTAGAAAGAATAAATAAAATTACATACCGGTCCGTGCAATCGAACCCACACTCTCCGCGCGACAGCCAATCGCGGTATCCATTCTGCCACGTACGCGCTCGGTCAACGGCGGGCGTGACAAGATCACACAAGCTAAGCAAATGTTTATGGGTTACGCAGATCTCCAAAAAATTTCAGCGAATACATTTTGATGGTTCGACTTCGCGAGCTACCTCATAAACATAAAAATAGAGCGGGCATATAAAACATTATATGAATGTTATTTACTGTTTAGTTTGTGTCAACGGATATAACGCTTGATGCTTACTCAGACGTCAGATTCTTCTGTTGACACGGCGACCGCTAAGAGGATTGGAATGAGACCCTAGATAATTGGCGATCGTGCCTATATACAATACATGTGTTCCAAAGGGTCTCGCGTCAGCCCCCCCCCCCCCCCTTTTCCTCCACGCTGTAAACAGAGAACACGACAAGTGGGTGACTGACCGCTGCAGCGCCATCTGAGAACAGTGCTGCAGTCTGCATAGACCGCTGACATTCCTTGATAGACGCTACACGTGACCGGTGCCTCTTATATTCCGAACATCACGATGCGAGCTTTAAAGGGCGACTCCGGCACATTTTCTCGATTTTAATATTTCGATTCTTTTTAGTGAAGGCAGTGTACATGAATTATAAGGGGGAATTTCTTTTCGATGGCTGGCGTAATTTTGTAATTATACTACCACAACAGTTTCCTTCGGCTGTCTACGGCGAACCAAAACTTTCGGCTTGAGCATGATGGGAACCCATCAGATCAGCTGCAGGGCCATTGTGTGCAGCAAAGCTCTTACCCTCGCACCGGAAGGCGTACAACTGGTCTAGTCCCAAGAGCAGTTAAAATGAGCCAAGTCAAATGATGCGGTTGTTTCTTTGCTTTGCTTCGTAGATATCAACCATCTGTAGCAAATACCAGTACATATTGACAAAGGTTGCCGGGCGAAAGCGAGTTTGTCACGATAAACGCAGGCGCAGTGCAGGCTCAGAACCAGCACCCACTTATCGACGATAATAATACATTGAGAAGTGAACAAAGGGGACAAAGGGCAAACAAAAATTTGCGAACACAGCTAGGCGACTGGTGCACGACCGAAAAAATTTGCCTGGTCCTGTTATCAAAACAGGAACCTCTCCATTTCCAGCGCAGCGCTCTACCAACTGAGCTAACCAGGAGTAAGACGTCAATAGAGCAAACGGGTTTTCTCAGCCGCCACCACTCTGACACCAACAATGGTAAACGGCCTGCATTTTAAGGTTAGGATGATAATTCAGTTAATGCAAAGACGCAAGCGAACTGGGCAAGAATGACGCAAATAATCCCTAGAGAAGGGGAACAAGGGGTAGAAATGACGAGCACAAATCTAGAAACACAACTAGGTGACTGGCGCGCAACCGAAAATATTAGCCTGATCCTGGTATCGAACCAGGGACTTCTGTATTTCCAGTGGAATGCTCTACCAACTGAGCTAACCAGGATTTTTTGTATTTCTTTATTCCTGAGCTAACCAGGAGTTATACGTGAGTAGAGCAAACGGGGTTTATCAACTGCCACCTGTCTAACAAATGCCACGGTGAATGACCTACATTTTAAGGTTATGGTGATAATGCTGTTAATGTATAGCTGCAAGCGACCTGGACAAGACTGACGATAATAATCCCCGGAGAAGGGGAACTAGGGGGACAAAGTACAAACACAAACCTACAAACACAGCTATAGGTGACTGGTGCACGACCGACCAAATCTGCATGGTCTTGGCATCGAACCAGGAAACACTAATTGCGTTAACTCCTGGTTATAAGGTCAGTTGGTAGAGCGCTCCACATTAAATGGAAAGGTCCTCGATTCGATGACAAAAGCAGGCGGGTTCTTTCGGTCACGCACCAGTCACTTAGCTGTGTGTTAATATTTGGGCTTGTCTTCTGTCCTCTTGTTTCCCTTTTTCAAAGATTATTATTGTGATTATTGTCCAGCTTGCTTGCACCTTTGCATTAATTGCATCATCGTCACGCGCGTAACTTCTGAGAAGAACTACATTCTTGGTGGCGTGCAATGCACGTTGACGAAGCATAGTGGAAGCTAATCGTAAGCCCGCACTGAGCAGCAACGAACTAAACTATGGCCGTCAGTGAATGCCACCGTCGGCACCACGTTGCGCTAAAGCGAGCAGGGAGTCAAATATATTCTTGTGCGATTGCTGAGGATCACTCACAAAGTACGGCCGCTTGAACAAAACATAACAATCAGAATTTGTCCGCCGGGACGGCTCAGAACGCAGAAGAAAAACACGGAGAAAGAAGTGGCAGTACAAACAAGTAACCTACTTTGAATACGAACATGACATCTGGGCACAAGGTTGCTTGACATACTGAATATCCACTGAGAGGCTAGTGGTAGCATTTTTAATTTAGGTTTTAGAATTGATTGCGGGATCCCATTAGTGGAATCCCATTTCTGCAGCGCTCGTATTTAGTCTCCGTCAATCAATATAAGTCGTTTACTTTGGTTCGACTTTTGATCGGAGTTTTCCTTTAAGATGCCGTTGCCAGATTCGTAAATTTGAAGAAGTGAAAAGTGTAGTAGCGTAGAAGGCGAGAAAGACTCGAGACATAGAAGCGTGCTGGGCTCCCGTGAATCGAGAGATTCGGATCCTGGCGCGTATGAAGAACGGACTTCGCAGTGCAGTTCTCGGGCCCAAAGTAAAGTACATTTATCCTGCCATACGGGTCCGTGTCCACTCCACTACAAATTGGCGACGAGGGTTCCTGGAGAATTGCTGGAGAACCGCTCAAGATGATGAATGCATCGAGCGAGACATCGCAGCGAGCAACATCGAACGTCTTCCGGTTCTTGGGACCAGAACCATTCGACCCGGAGAAATAGGACTGGAACCTATACCAAATAAGGTTCAAAGCATCTCTGGACATAGCCGGAACGACAGATGATGCCAGAAAAAGGAACTTTCTGATTGCATTTCTGAGGTCCGTGACATTCAAGCTGTTGCGCTCTCTGGTTCAACCGAGGCAAGTTAGTGAAGTTCCGTGTGCGGAATTGACAAAAACACTGGACACTCATTTTTCGCCGAAGCGTTTCAAGGAATTTGAACGGGCGAAGTTGTTTTGAACAAGCCAGGATGAAAGCAAGACACCAACCGAATTCCTGGCACGACTACGATGAGTCAGCTGAAACTGGGAGTATAAGAATGAAGTCGATGCTTACGCATGTTCGTTGCTCACTGCTTTTATAGTTTGACTTCGAAATCAACGCTTGAGGGCACGTCTCGTCCTTGAGAAAGAGTTATCGTTTGACATTGAACTCAGATTGTCGGAAAGCTTTCTTCGAGCGCATGAAGAGTCCCGTCAATTGAGAAGTGACGCAGAATTACCCATCGCAGTCAGCCAGGTGAGAGATCTACAGAGGTCTGCTAGACAATGTTTCCGTTGCGGGAATTCAGACCATGTCGAAGACAAGTGCCGGTTCAAGTCTGAAGATTGCAGAGCTTGTGGAATCAAGGGACACATTGCCAAGATGTGCAGGAAAGGACAGTCTGGCAAATCCCGATCCACAAGGAAAAAAACGGTGCAAGTAATCGCCAGGGTTCAGTCCGTTTTCAATCGAGATAGCAATTTTTTGGAATCTCAGATTGAAGGCAAACGAGTGGAACTCCAAATAGACACGGGTTCACAACTCACCTTACTGGACATTAAGACTTGGCATTGCCTCGGAAAACCGAAGCTGAACGAAACACCGTACAAACTGCAAAGTTTCAGCAAGGAGGTCATCAAGGTCAAGGGCCAATGTGAGCTTCAGGTTGAATGTCAAGGCAAAAAGAAGAGTCTAGAGGCTATTTTTACTAACACAAGCCAAGTCAATTTGTTGGGCAGGATCTGGGTGAGAGCTCTGAAATTGGATCTCAACAACTTGTTCGTCGCTCTTGTGAAAACAGAAAAGAGCCTCAAGACGCTGCTGACTAGGTACGCAGTACCATTCAGAAACGAACTTGGTCGGTGCACGAAGATCAAGGCTCAACTTCACTTCAAAGAGAATGTCATCCCGCAGTTCATACGGCCAAGACCACTACCGTTTGCATTGCGCGAAGCGGCAGAGTCTGACTTGAAGAAACGGGTAGCCAACAGCGTATTGACTCCAGTGGAAACAGCGCAGTCGGCCACCCCAATCGTCATTGTCCTGAAGACCAGTGGTCTCCAGAAGTGAAATGTTTGGGCCAGATTTTTTTAAGCGGAAGGAATACGACCTTCTCAAAGGAAAGTTGGATCCATACTGAAGAAGCCGGCGCCGTCTAACCTTCCAGAGCTTTGGGCATTTTTGGGCATGGTTCAGTATTACGCAAAGTATTTGCCACGGTGAGCCGACCTTTGCGCACCACTGAGTAATCTACTCCAGAAAAATGTTCCTTGGCAATAAAATTTGTCTTGCGTAGAAGCCTTCGAAGACATAAAACACGTCTAAGGTTTATGGGGACGCTTGTTCACTTCGATCTAAGCGAGACAATCTATTTGGCGACTGATGCTTCACCAGATGTCGTTGGAGCGATCATCTTCCACAAGATAAAAGGAAAGGAACGCCCAATTGCGCATGCATTGAAAGCGCTGACTTCCGCCGCGAAACGATATGCCCAGATTGAGCGAGAAGCTCTAGCCATAATTTTTGGCGTAAAGAAGTTTCATCAGTATCTGTGGTGAAGAAGATTTGTCTTGTATACTGATCACAAACCATTGACGGTGATTTTTGGTCCAGTGAAAGGAATCCCTGTGACGGCTGCCAACAGAGTTCAACGATGGGCCTTGACCCTACAAGGGCACTTGCATGACATTATGTATACTCCAACAACTCAGTTTGGAAACGCAGATGGCTTGTTACGACTACCTCAGGGACCTGATGCAGAGTTTGACGAGGAACTTCAACATGAAGTCGCCGATGCTGTGAGCTTCATTTCTTCAGACATCATGGCAATTGTTGAAAAAATTAATAGCAAACTTAAGTCAGAGCATCCGACATCGCGGCGGAGACTGCTAAAGACAAGACACTGTCGCAGGCTTACCGGTACGTCATGGAAGGATGGCCGTCGATTGAACGCGACGCAGAAGTGCAACCATACACGAGACAGTCGGAACTCACTGTGGAAAATAGCTGCCTAGTTTGGGGCATGCGCACAGTGATCCCTCTTAGGTTTCGACGGAGTCTTCTGGATTTAATACATGAAGGACACCTTGGATGATCAAAAAATAACATGTTTGCCCGTTCCTATACGTGTGGTGGCCAAACATGGACAAAGACCGTGAAGCGAAAAGTGAGGCTTGGGAAGCTTGTGCTTCAGTCCCTGACAGTAACGAAAATGTTCCCCTACATCAGTGGGAAGTACCAAAACGACCCTGGTATTGAATCTATACAGATTTCGCAGAATACCAGAACACCATGTACTTGGTGGTGATCGACGCGTACAGCAAGTGTCCTGGAGTCACTTTGATGCCGTCGACCAGAGCTCAGCGGACGGTGGAAGCATTCAAGGAAATCTCCCTTGTTCATGCACTGCCGGAGCAGGCAGTCAGCGATAATGGAACACAGTACATTAGTGCCATTTTTCAGAATTTTCTAGAAAAACAAGGAATTAGACACATCTTAACACCACCGCACCACCCTCAGTCAAACGGCTTAGCCGGAAACTTTGTGAGGGCACTAACGTCTGCCTTTCGTAAATCCAAGGGGGAGGGAAAGGAAGGACTAAGACAGTTCCTCCTCCTTGTATAGGGTGACACTACACTCTACGACGGGACAACCCCCATGCGAGATGCTAAACAAACGACACTACCGAACGACGATGGATTTGATCAAGTCAGGCCAGTCGCCCGAAGGATCTCGTGAACGGGCTCGTCAAAAGAGAAATTACGACAAGAAGAGTCGCCACAAGACGTTCCAGATAAATCAGAAAGTCTCGATGCAGGATAAATTGAAGAAGAACCAATGTATCAAAGGTATAATCGTCAGCCAAGAAGGACAAGCTATGTTTGAAGTAGTGACTGAAGATCAAAAGCGACACCGGGTGCACGCAGATAAGACCAAGAAACGGATCCGCGAAGAAGATTGGACCAGATCGTACGCCCCAAATCCGGTGGACAACTTTCATGCAGTTGACCCGCCACAAGTGGAAGCGGATGCATCGGACGCGGCTCAGGAACACGCAGCTCATGCGTCCGGGTGCACTGCGGTTCACCGGTATCCGACAAGAGTACGTAAAGCACCTGATGTCTTCACTTCGCCTGAGGAGGGAGGAATGTAGTGGCGTAGAAGACGAGAAAGTCTCGAGACATAGGAGCGTGCTAGGCTCACGTGAATCGCGAGATTCGGATCCTGTCGCGTATGAAGAATGGTCTTCGTAGTGCAGTTCTTGGGCCCAAAGTAAAGTGCATTTATCCTGCCATCGGGCCCGTGTCCACTCCGCTACAAAAAGTAGGGTTATACCTGAGCGACGAGAAGAAGCCGATGAGAGCTTTGTATTATCACACAGGAATTTGAAAAGGCAACACAACACGCAAGAAAAATGCGGGACAAGACTAAATGCGGGAGTGGTTATTACCCGATGTTTCCTCAAGCAAATATAAATCCTGAAATTAAGGCTTTTATGTTTAGTAAGTTGATAGGGCTCATTTACACAACAGTCTTAAAAGAACTCTGGGATAAACTAGGCATTGGATGATATAACATATCTCGAATTCAGAAGTCGCTCATTTTTCAAATGATAATAAAACCCGTATACTTTTATTACGCTTAATAATTTCTGGATATGTTCACTCACTTATTTGCATACTTAATGGTATTTTTAGGCTCCGTGGCCGACGATGTGTTTCTCTGAAAGTGGGCATAAGACAAAAAAAAGCGTTTTTGTTATGTTAAAGCAATATTTCACGAAAAGAGGAGGCTTAAACAGGGAATAAATGAAACATCGCATCGATACTGTTAAACTCACACTACATGGCAATTTCAGCGGCCAGTTCACTTTAAGGGCACTTTAACTGCCACTGGATGGAATTTGGAGGTAGAGGCTGACGATAGATATCTGTTGATGGTATCTTGTCGGCAACTAACATGGCTATGCGTCAGCGAAAAGCCATAAAGCTCTTACAATAAATGGTAGAGGCTCAGCTGGCACTAGTGTCTACGGGACTTCCGGTTGCAAATTGAAGCTGACAGTATGCAGTCTACATTTCCAGCCTCTCTGTGTATTCCTATGGGAAAACGCGCGTAAATTGTGTCTCTTCGCCGGAAAATAACATGAAAGACTTTTGTCATTTCGGTTGTACCGGATAGTATACACCTTTATTGGTATTGTGGAAGTGTAATTGCATTAGTTAAGGAATTTTTCTCTACCACTGAACGATGTTAAACTTCGCTCTATTTCAGGTCCAAACCTTTGTTTCAAGGAAGGTGTGTGAAAAGGAGCGACGATTTAAGCCAACTAACGATCGAAAGGAATGTGGAGTGTGTTCAAGGTTTGCTAGCATTTCGGTGGTGCTTATATATTGCTAATATGCCCGTCCTGTCATTGGATGAAAATGACTCCGTCGTGCACCTTTACGATCGGTTAAAGAAACATTCGAACGCAAAAAATAAAGCACGTGAGCTACGAAAGGTGTATTTTTATTATTTTCTATGTCGGGCAGTTTTTATCGGGCACGTGCTCTCTGGCTCCCCCTATTTGGAAAGATTTGGAGCGTGTGGGTGATGATTTGAGCCCAGAACAAGCCTTTTCGCACATATTCATGAGCAGAAAGAATAAAACAGTACTTATTTATTCCAAATCTGACAATATTACGTGGCTTTCAATTAATTTTGATCGTCTGAGTGCACAAGGAGTTACTTATTCATTTTTACTGCGTAGTTCTTGCCGTCTCTCTTGGTTTCCCACATGTCCTTCAATAGTTTGGCACGTATATCCCCCATGCTGAAAAGCGTCGACGCCGTGTTCGCGCTGACGGTGTTTGACAGTGCACATAAATACACGTACAAAGCGGTTTTAACACCGTTTTTCATACCACGAATTTCAAATAAAATACTGTAACTGACCAATTATTTTATTTGTGTGACTGAGAAATGTTACAATGTGCCTAGTACGTACAAATTATTAGTAATATTTGCTCTTATAATCGAGCGCAGAGAGAAAATGCACTCATTTTTTCCAACAGAAATGCATTACGGGAAGTCAATTTCTGACTGCTTGCTGTCTGCTTCAAAATGCAACAGCACACTAGCGCCAGCTGAGCCTCTAGCGTTTATTGTAACAACTCTATGCGAAAAGCGTCTCAGCGACAGAAATAAATAAAACATTCTAAGCAGCAAATTACCAATGGCTATGTCCTCTGCAAATTTAAATGAATAGAAAGTGTGTTTCTTTTCACAAAATTGAAAACGGAAGATCAATATGATAGCCGTGTCGCCATTCCGCTGAATGCGCACACGCACGAGCATGCAGCATTGAAGAAATGATATTCATGATGTTATGGCTCGACTTTTATGGCTGCAAGTCCTTTCCACTAAAAATCAGTCAAATATGTCGTTAAAGATGAGCAAGTGTTGTAAAAGTATTAGACAAGAATTAAACAAATTTAAACATTTTTTTGTATCCTTGTTTTGAACGTGTCCTTTTGAAAAAACTAAAATCTGTCTTAAAAGAAGAAAACATGCAATAAACTAAATTCGCCTGCACCTTATTGCGATAAAAATTAAAAAAAAAGTATAAATTGAAAACTTAGTGTCACCAGCTTTCATGAAGCTCCTATATACATTTTTATAAACGTGACTGATCTTTCAAAACTCCATAAAAACAAAAACTTCTTACTAAAATGCAATAATTAATGTCTGAAAATTTCAATATTAAACCTCTTGCAATTGTAGAAAAAAGTGCGATTGAAGTAAAAATATTTTTAACTGTTTAAAAAAAAAAAAAAGAGACCGACGCGGACCCTTCACACGGTTTCGACCATAAACAAACTCCTACGGGCCAGGTACTACCATCCAAAACCCATGAACGCGAAAAAGCTTTAAGATAAAAATATAATAAAGAGAAACACTGTCCCCCTGAACGTCCGCGTTATTTGAAGAAAAATCACGCAACAAAAAGAGTAACAATTTTAACGCAGTAACCACATAAAGGGGCAGTGCAAGAGAACGAAGAAAACCAAATGTTGCTTTAAAGGACG